GGCGCGCGGGGGCGGGCGGGCACGCGGCGTGGGCGGGGGCGGCGGCGGGCGCTGAGGGCCGTCTCCCCGCAGGCTCTTCGCCATCGGGTCGCAGCTGTCCCCCGAGGTCGGCAGCTCTGGGATCGAGATGCTGGAGACAGACACCTTCAAGCTGCACTGCTTCCAGACGCTGACAGGTACCGTCCGGCCCCGGGCGCCCGGCCCCGCTCCGCTTTGCTGGGGCCGTCACAGAGCTCGGCCTTCCTCCCGCTTCTGTCGTTGTGGCTCCAGGGATCAAGTTCGTGGTGCTCGCTGACCCGAGGCAGGCGGGGATAGACGCCCTTCTCCGCAAGATCTACGAGATTTACTCTGACTTTGCTCTGAAGAATCCCTTCTACTCCCTGGAGATGCCGATCAGGTAAGGAAAAGCCCACTTTTAATCACGCGGCTGCAACCCCTTGTCGCTTTCTGCCTGCGCAGTAACAAATGCTGACAGCCCTGAAGTGGCAAAGCAGACCCAGAGGCTGAGGGAAGGGGGACGACCCAGCACACTGCTGCAGGGACGGGATGCTGACCTGTGCCTTTTCCAGTGCCGCTCTGCTGGGGAGGCGGGAGGCGCTCTTCCTTGGTACAATCCCCGCTGTCCTTCCCTAACGCTGGAGCCCACGCAAGCAGCTTTACTCGTGCTTAACGGCCCAGCCAAAGTTTCACAGCAGTCAGGTTGCCCTCTTGTGACTTACGGAATCTCTCCTTGAAGGATGCAGAGCCAAAGGATGTGGAGAGCCCATCTTCCTTAGCCTGTTCCGTAGGTGAAGTCATCCCCTTCCGCTTTTCTGACTGTTTCAGATGCGAGTTGTTTGACCAGAACTTGAAGCTGGCTCTGGAGGTGGCAGAGAAAGCCGGACCCTTCGGACCTGGGTCGTAGAGAAAGCCTCACCTGTTGCACAGACTCCTTTCTCGGGAGAGCAGGGCCTCTCTCGTCCCCGGCTGGCCTCTCCCGGAGCTCTCTCCTCCACAGCAGAGACTGCGCATCCCCGAAACATGCTTCGTTATGTCCTAAAATACCCTTTTATCCCCTTTGTTGTGAAAGTTACCTTAAACAGACTCGTTACTACTGTTTACATTGGGCCCCAGAGGCTTGTTCCGCTGTTGCGGCTCCACTGCCCTTGAGTGAAGAAAAAGATAAGGTGCGGGTCCCCGGCCTTACCGCAGTCGATGATTGTCTTCTTTCATTTCATAACTGTACATACGGATTTTTCCTGTATAGCTCTAACTTATGGTTTTGCAGGGGGTTTCTGCATAGAAGTAATAAACGCTCCTCAAAGAGGCGGATGGCTGTTTGTTTTCTGTTGGCAGGGTAAATTCGCCCCAGTAGCACCTCAAGAGGACAGGCGGGTTTGGGTGGTTCTGCTTGCACCGTTCTCCATAAGACAACCAGAGCCCTCGTGACACTGCTCCGTTTTTATTTCACAGACAGTAGAAGACATACAATTAAGTACAAAATGTAATTCACTTCCATTGTTTTAATTAAGGCTGGCTACCTGCTCTTGCAACCAAGCTGTTCAGCAGAGTACCTGCGCGTGGGTTCTTCACGAGTAGAACTTGCCTCTTCCAGGACCCTAAAGCAGTAAATCCTAATCCTTTTGGGGAAAACCAAGAATATTCAACAAAACCCCGGTTAAAAACCGGAGCCTACTTATGGCAAAGAGTGCTGGGCCCGCGGGCTGCCAGCGGTGGCTCTGCTAAGGCCAACTCCCAGAGGCAGCCCAAGCCCCCGCCCACAGCCAGGGGAGATGCAGCTCTTGACCGAAAACATCCTAGACTACGTACCTCGCGCTGAAAAAATACAAGCCAAATGCTAGAAACACAGGTTTGCACGAAACCCAGCTGCAGAAGTCGTGGGCCGGCGGCAGCTGCCGTCACAAAAACCGCC